AATTTTCCATGACGTCATGGGTAATGGTAGTCGTCCCTTGATCCGGGATTCCCGTTGCTTCAGTCCAGCGCGTGAAGTGCTCCGTCATCAACAAGATGTATTGGTTACCCCACCTGGTCAACGGAAACGGTCCCATCATGTCTATCGACCATAGTTCACAATTTTCCGATACCGGAATCGACAGCACTGGTTGTCGTGATCCACGGCGGTCGATTTTCAAGAGGTGGCATTGTTTGCACGAAAGCACGTATATCTCGATGTTCTTCTTCATGCACGGTCACGTTGTCTCAGCAACTTGAAGGCCCTGACGCAACCGGTCTGTGTCATCTCGTGACCAGAAATCACTAGCTTCCGCCTTAAGTTTGTCGGAATAACCGGCACTGATTCCCGCTTTATTTACTCATAGCTTTTCCAGTTTTCTCGCAAACGGTCCGAGCTGCTTGTGTTAGCTCTTGTTTAGAACTGATTAACCGGTTCTTCATACAGTGATCACTTTGCGCAAGAGTTTGTCACCACGTTGTTCGGCCGCCAACTGTCCCGGATCCTGCCCCAACAATCTACCAAAAACACCGAAAGCCACACTCGACTGGTCATCTTCGTTCATTATGCTGGACAAAAAAATCCGCAGTTTGGTTCTGCTTCCCCGGCACGTGGTTTATTGTGAAATCGTATTACCGTAGGGGCAGCGCCCATCTCGCTAGCTTTCTCCTGGAGTCTTTGGCAGACATAATATATTCTAAAAACCTGTGGTCCGTTTCGATGTCAAAATGCTGACCTAACAGAGATGGCCATCGTTTGTCCACCGCCCAGACGATTGCGATACATTCCTTCTCTATCGTTGAGTATTTGCGTTCTGCCGGTGTCAAAATTCTACTGACTTACTCAGTCGTCCCATTGCTCCGAGGTTGCTGGCGCCAGTGCCCATCGTGAACAGCAATGGCAATTTCAAGGTCAGGTTCTTCCTTTCCATTTCTTGCAGAATGCGATAAAAGTCTTGTTGGGCTTCTGCATTTCAAGTTTTATCCTGCTTCAGTAGCTCGTGCAAGGGTGAGGCCAAATTGTTGAATTCCTTGACAAATTTGCTATAGTACCCAGTGCGGTCCAGGAGCACTCTGAGAGTGCGCTTTGAGGTAGGAACAGGTGTGCCTTGTATTGTCAATGTTTTCTCAAGCAGTGGCTTCAGCTCACCTGGTCCAACTTTATAGCCCAATGATGTGGCACTAGTCCTTCCAATCTGGGAATTCGGTCCATTTATACGGAGTCCCTACTGTTGAATCCTTTTCAAGACTGCTTCAAGTTGACCTCTGTGTTCCGCTTCTGATTGGCTATGCACGACGATATCATCTCCTTACACCGTCACGCTCTCCAAGCCACTCAGTAAGCAAAGTATTAGACGTCGGAAGGTAAACTTGGCTCCCGATAATCCAGAAGGCGTTCTTTTAGATTGCTGTTTTTTTACCGACGGTAAACGCCTTTTTTCTCGATCTTGTTCGATCTCCAGTTGCTACTATCCGGATCTCAGAGCCAGAACCGTGAGTATCGACTGTTGCAATCTATCAAAGATGTCAGCAACTGATGGCGCTGGAACGAAACGACTCAAGGATATTTCATTCCATCTTCGAAAGTCCACAGAGAAACGGCACTTCCCATTAGCCTTCTTTACCAAGACAACTGGTGAATTTTATGGGCTGTGCACCTCTTCAATCACGTCTGCGTCCAACGTCTCCTGGTGCAGTTGTGTTTGCCTTTAGTACGCCACAAACTCAGAGGAGAACACTGAAGCGCTTTTTCAGATCCGGTCATTATGATCGGAATAACCGTCTCAATAGAGATTGTGTATCTCAGTCAAACCACGCAGCGGACACTCTAAATTCAAATTTTAACAAAGGCAATTGAGATCAGACTGATCCCTGTATGATTGCCGCACTCCGAACGTGAACCTCCCTTGAAATTTGGGCCTATAACCGAGCTGCTCCAGTCTGCTGGGATAGTTTCCTGTTCTCATAGCTTCACAAATAAGTTTTGCAATTCATCTACTAGTTCAGATCCTCCGAATTCGAAGAGAGCTGGAGGAAGTCTATCTGCTCTTGCATCCTTGTTTAATTTCAACAGTCTGGTCTCGTTCGACTTCTGCGCGTGAAAGTGGATCCAATGTAAGGTCCCAGCAAGGTCAATGAATGGCCGATAAGGAAGATGGCAATTCTACCTGATCAAACTGCCTGTCAAAGGGTTCGACCCAACACCCCAGGCGTTTTGATAAGCTTTGAATTGACTGTCTACTCTCTTCGCATATAGTTTCGCTATGTCAGGTGTCCTGCTGCCCGTTTCCCTATCAGACGGAATAACCTCTGATGGTTACCGAGTGCAGCGACTGTCTCCATTTTTATGCCCTATGAGATCACCAGGCTTCGTGGTTTCTCTTCAGGCTAACACGCAGTTTTGCCCTGAGATTTTTGCGAATCTCATTGTATTCGCTTCTAGCCGGAATGTTTCGGCCAGCGTCTATAAGTTCCAGAGACTGCGTAGAGCCCAACATTTAGGTTGGGGATTCGATTTGCCACAAGAAAACACGCCTGCTGCTAATTACGTTTGGCGGATATGCAATCAGTGATCTTCAACTGTGTTCACAAAGCGATTACCCAGTCGCATGCCAACGTACTTTGATACGTATTCAGAACATCTGGTTTTGCTAGTTGGCAAGTAGATATGCGCTCACAGCGCTGTTGCGGACGTCCGCCAAAATGTATCCGCAGGTCGACACAGGACAGTGCGTGGTCGGAGTTGTTCTCCACAGTGAGCGGCAGTTTTGGACGCAGCCTATCCAACGATAACTGATTGCGATGTGATCAGTTTGTACCCATGGCTGGTCCAAGTCTGGTGGGCGCCATGTTCCTATTTTGCGGGTGCTGCGTCGGAAGTTGGTGCTCGCTAGAAATAGAGGCGCATCTTCATACAGGTGCATCAACCGCCCACCGTTTTCATTACGGGAGCCTTCACCATGTTTTCCGCCTACTTGTTGCTCATCGGTGGGCAGTCTCAACTTGTGCGTTCATATTGTCAGCAAACACCACAGTATTCGTACTCTTTCTTTGACGAAGTAGCTCCTTCAGTTGGTGATAACATTTATCTTCCACCGAATCAGTGCTACAGTTTGTGGGTGTATATGCCGCCGTGAAAAACGCACAGTTTGTTTAAAACTTAGAACGAGCTAGCCAATCTGACGGCGCACATCCGGTTGTTGACTGGGATCCTATCGATCAGAGCAGTTTCAGCCCGGCGGCTCAGAGTGTAGTGGCATGGAGATTAGTCCTAGTCTACCGCACCAGAAGGCACAAATCAATGTTCGAGAAAGAAAAATTTAATGCTGTTCTTCAGATCTTACCACTACCAGACGGAATAGTCGAAATATGATATTCCAAAGTGTCGGCTCGACAAAGCTCAGACTTCCCAGACACACGGGCGAAACAAGCTCAGCACGCCACAGTACAAAAGCAGAACGCGCGGTTAGTAGATGGAGAAGAGTGTATCTCAAAACCATCGGTTAAAACAAACTGTACGAAAGCGATTGAAAATCCAAGTGTGATAACGCATAAAAATTTTGGGATCTATGAACACAGCATGAACCATGCCTACATCGACTTGACCGGCATTTGAAGTTTCGTCATCTCCGGGCATACGCAATGAGTAAGTGCCGTCGGTGTCGCATGTGTGATATCTTAAGGTAAGCACAGCGCTCGAATCTTACTGGCGGGTTTCTGATATGCAACAGATATCGAACGACAGGGTCTCTGCTTTTCTGGAAATTAATACCGTTCTTGCATTAAGTCTCTTGTCTCTTTCGCCTATCAATTAAATATTTTCTTTCTTTTTTCTTCCACCTTATCTCATTGTTTTTATGTTCTTTTTCTTTCTTCTTTTATATTCCGTTTGCGGCGCAGCTCATGAAAACCGAGTCTATCATACTTCGGTGCCCTGGTCATCGTAGACAGACTGAACTGCATCTACTTTATCCGACGTGTGTAAACCTTGTTGAACGCTTTCTGACTGCCCCCCTTTTTACTGTGCATCATAACCGTTTTCGTTTATATGTGCATCCCGTTGTACACAAAACTGTGCTGCAACCTTTGGGGTCACTACTTTATAACATGCTGCGTTTTATTCGACTGTCCGCTACACGTCATGCTTTCGAGTAGGGCGAGCAGTGCAGTATTGCTTCTCTCCTAAAGGCCTAGTAATTCCGACCACCAATGCGGCAGCCTCGGAGCAAAGTCTCATCAGGTGTTTGTGTACAGATATTCCTACACTGCCACCGTAGATCCCATACACCTTTCTTCCACCAAATGCTCTTCACTTGGCGTATCTCGACCCTGTCTTTGGAAGCTTTGTTCTACGGGCTTCTGCAGTCTGATTCATGGTCCATAATTTCTGAGGTGCTCATGATCCCTGCTCACATTCGATCACTCCGTTCTTGTGTCCCCTAGACGTGTCTGTACAACCATACACCGCCGGTTGACTGAATTCACCGTACATTCTGATGATTTCTTTTCATTCGATGTCAAGCCACTAACAGCAGCCTGCCAAAGCGAACGTTTACTACTTTGCCTGATGCCTCAAAGTGTCTAGAATATCTCACGCGCCTATGGTACCCACTTTTCAACGTTACGTTCTGTTAACTTAAGGTTGGTTTTTGACTACGTCATAACTACGGAATTGAACTTACTGTTGTCGTGTATCGTGACTGAGACATCCACTTCCTGCCATTGAATTACCGATGATGACCCACTTGAGAGATATCTCTCATACAATTCATCATCATATTTGTGTCCATCTCTACTCTCAAAATTAGGACACGAAGTTTTTGGCTTTCATCCTTTTCGTCCACATGTCACATACCTGCTATTTTAGTTCACCTCACTACTGCCGATGACGGAGCCTGTTTACAGTTGTTACGCCACTTTCTGGTACAATCTGTGATCTCTTCTTCGTACCTCCACTTGCAGCGTGCCGCTTCACCGTGGTTCTCCTGCAACTCTATTCTGGAGTCGTTCCTCATCACCAATTCGAGGTGGAACGCTGCGTCCTCCAACTTGCTGTCTGATCTCGTTCCGCTTGTTCACCTACACCTTGCACACAGAGACCCCTCACACCGCGACTTCACACGGCTGAGCGAGGTGTTCAATTGCAATCGTCCACCATGGGAACTGGAGCGCCTGCAACGCTTGTTCGACCACGGCGCTCTTTGTCCCGATGCGGCGGACAACCTACTTCTCTCCGACTTGGGTCCCAGCACCCATTCGGACATAAAAAATTCCCATCCGTTGGCTATGACCTACTCATCCGTTCACATGAGTAGGCCACACGTCAGCCACAATCATCCTTCCAATTCAGGTACCTCACCCAATCCACCACGGTCGCTTTCGAACATCAACGGCACTTGTAAGTCTACAAGAGACCACAAGATGCGTAAACTGTTCGCTACTAATCAATCACCGACCATAGAACAGCCCCTGCTCTCGTCCTCATTACGAACTTCATTGGAAGACAACTCTCCGGAACACCAATTGCCACTTGGCCAATCCGATGCGGTGAATTCGCAAATTATAAGCGTTTTGTTCGAGCGGCTTAACCAAGTAGAGAAGTGAGTTGCAAATCCCCAATACTTGTTTTCTGTTCACCTAATCACCATCAAAAAGGTGGATATGTCCTCATAACTTCCAATGGCGGAACTTTTCGTCACATACTTAGGCGTCTGTTGGCTTGCCCAGTACTATACTCTTCACCTGGTACACTTTCAGACATGTGGCCGACAATATCTCCACGTAATCATTGTTATGACCACGGGCGCACCGCTTGTAGCTTCAAAACTTTAACATCATTTGCGTTCTATCGCGCGCTCTCGCAAATGTGTATCCAGTTGTGTACGGATGTCTAGATACTAATAAAGTTTTTCGTTGATATGACACCCAGCGTCCTGGATTCATTTCCCCCAGGCTCAGTGAGATTACGTACTACCGATTTCTCCCTATTGTATTACCTAGCCGGTCAACAATTTAATGTACCTCTTGATTTAAAAATTGTTGATCTCGATTTAGGGGCCTCTTTCAAACTGTGAGTCATCGTGTCTGCTTAATTTTTGCCTAAACATTCGCCCCTTCCTGTTTAATGTCTCCCTTCTTCCTTGCCTATTTCACCTAACAGGCGCATTCACCTGCTGGATCAGCACATCTCGGGCACATTGGACACAATTTTATCTCAGCTTCAGCAACACACCGGGCAATTATCTTTCCGTCGGACTCAGTGAATTAGTAACCCATATCCATTCCAACCGAGGACGTTCTATTCGCTCTCCACACACGGCCTTACACATGCGTTTCATCATCTCACTCGCTGTGATAGTGTCCTCAGGTGCCTCAGGGCGTCCAACTCTAGTCATTTGCAACTGCAATCACTTTTTTGCTGTGATTTCTCCCCTTTACACAACGGCACTCCACTGTAATATGTACATCTTATTTGTAATCACAAACTTACAGGACGAGCTAACAAGTATCCATAGCATTTATCTAAGCTTCTAGTCCTTCATACATTCGACACGTGAATGCAACAGATTTCTGAGTACATCATTCACTTGCTATTCCATATCATTTGCCGAACTCTTCTTATACTTTCTCTTCCCATTTTGCACCCCACCATGCTTCACTTGTCTCCCTACAACCGAGTCTTTCGTCACACCCTCTTATGAGGGGCACGTCACTCGCGTGCACACCATTGTTCGGCTACTGCCCGATATGTGACCACCACCTACTAGTCCAAGTTTCTACGGTGCACCGCATTTGCGATTCCACTTTGCACTCGTCGTCGCTATTTTTACCTTCACGATCCCAAGATTTATTCTTTCTCAATTCTATCATTTTCGTTGTATTTATTCCATTTCGTATGGTTTTCACTAAGCCTTTGTACCAACTACCGAGCAATCACCTGGTCTTTGTAAACCTCATGCATTCTTACACCCCATATATTTTGTGAGAATATCTCAAACACTGTTCATGTGGCAATATTTGCTGCAGAAATATAAATTGCTGGGTCCATTTGTGTATTTTGTCCTTCAGCCACGTGTCTATTTTGTTCCCATTTGGGCTTACGGTACCTCTTCTAAACCTAGCATGATTTGTAGGCTCTATACGACTGGATTAATTTTGTTCCGCTGTGTACAGCAACTCAGTAGATCTTAGTGTGTTCCGCTTACTTTTGTTTCGACTCAGAACATGATGAACCATAGTGTCACTTGGTAATGGATATCATACTTTCGATCGTTTGTCATCAACCCGTCAGTTTCTTATTATCCATTTTTTACAATGCTTAGCTCCTCGATGTGGGGAAGTCATCTCTTCTATCTAAACTCAGTCCAGACTTGACCACCGGCTTTCGTATGAGCATGGTACAAAATTTCTCCGGTTATCTGGATTCAGTCACCGCATTAACACACATTACAAATAGCCGTCAAAGCTTGAATTGATTCGATGCATCTGATAATCTGCCGGCGCTCAACGATATCTTAACTGTGATGTTTATATACACATACCACGTTTTCGTGTCATAGGAACATGCGCCAGACCCCAGCATTGTTCACCATCTCCGAAATTGTAGTGTTTTCTCTACGATCGTCATCTTTCGGCACAAGATCCCATCTTTTCGTTTTCGCTTCGTAATAAAAGTATCTGACTTCCTTCATTCCTGTCATCTCTTATTCCAACAAAAACCATGGATTTACCTTTCTTTCACGCTTCCGCTACTGCTGCTTTTATCGTTCGCCAACTTCCATCACACGCCAACACTACATTCGTTGTCAATCCCATCTCCGTTGATTCTGCCTTCGATCCTGGTTTTGCCGACACCCGACACTCAATCGACAGGCGTACTTCAACCTTGATCAATGTCTTGATTGGCCTGCTTCAACGTACGAGCGCTTATGCGGATTGGTCAACAGGCCGGTTTGACCTGCACCCTGGAGTCTTGCCATGTGCGTTTGTTGCGTTCCCTAAACCTGGTTGCAGGATTTCAGCAGTGTAATCAGACTGACCTCCCCTTCTGACCGCGCAACTATATACCAACTGTATCTATCCATTGACGTAGAAGCAGCTGCAACACGTTTGGCTGGAGTTGGGAAAACACTAATTAAGAAAGCCGAAGCTACGTTGCTAGACTCGTTAGCAGTTAACAGTCGGCTTTGCGCAGTTCCGCTTTTGGTATCATGTGCTATCGATAAACATCGCAAAGAAACACGTAACTTCTTTATCGTTTCTGCCTACGCCCCAACTGATTGCAGCAGCGACTATGTCAAGGACGATTTTTACCGCGAACTTCATCTTCTGAATAGAGTGGAAAAGTCAGATGTTGTTATACTTGTTGGTGATTTTAACGCACGGGTCAGTCACCTGCTTCCGTATGAACGCCACCTTGGAGGTCAGCACGCGCTTAACGAGAGACGCACGGATAATGGGGACTGGCTTCTCACATTGTGCGAGGACAATCACCTGTTGCTTTCCAGCACCAATTTCAGGCATAACATAGGAGATTCCGCAACCTGGGGCTCTCCGTCGTGATCACAACTCTGTTACCGGATCGACCACATCGCAATCAGTTTCCGTTGGTGTGGTAGTATACAAGACTGCAGGTCATTCTGCTCAACCTGCATGGACTCAGATCACGCGCTGGTTTGTGCGAACATCTGCATGCTCTTCAGTGGGCCCCGGAAACAACTGCACCGTAAGTTTGACACAAACAGGTTAGTTGACTCCACTGTCCAACTGAGCTATCAAGCTGCACTGTCAGATGCTCTCACCTGTACTCCACTCCAGGATGTTGAGCAACATTGGGCTTGGCTATAGAATTGAAGACTGGTAGCTCACGTTGTTCAGATGGCGGTTGAACTGTTCGCTGAACTTGGCAATTTTGTTGCAAACGTTTCGTCACCAATCGAGGTGACCTCATCAGTGCGTAGTTGAGTGGCGTGCAGTAACGTAGAGGAGCCTCGGTGGGAGTGCGATGAGCGTGGTGTGCGTGCGTTTTTTTATACCGCCGTGGTTGCCCGTGAAGCCGAGCAATTCCATTAGTTGGGACTTCGATCCGCGTTTAGTTTGGTTGATGAAGTTGACCACTTGTTTTTCGCGGCCTTTGTCTGCTTGCTCTTGTGAGCGAGTCTGTCGTCAGTTCTGGTTGTCTAATCACACATCCTACCGGATTCATTCGATCGGGTTGGCAGTCGTTCTCCATTAGTGTTGCGCTGGAATCCGCAATTGAACGTCGAACCGAAAGCACAAAGAACCGACGCGGGATTACACTGAACACAAAGTTAGACAAACTGACTAAGAGAAATCGCTGCGTTGCCAGTGAAGGATGGATCAAAAACCTTTCGCTCCGCCTCCTCACTGCAACTGAAGAGGATTAAGGGGCTCAACTGCAACGTCAAACATGCTTGCCCCAAAGACTACTTAGCCAGCTTGGAACACACATTGAAAGCAAATGACTGTCGGAGGATTCTCAGCAACAGATACGGCTGACAGTTGTCCCAGTGCTAACTCGGAATAAAGTCACCCGGATCCTATCTAAGGAGGAACAGGATGCACCTAGACGTCTACAGAAAGACGGGAACATTATAATCCTAACAGCGGACAAAGGGGGCATAACAGTAATAATGGACAAACCGGAATATATTAACAAGGCTAAAGAACTGCTATCCGACACAACTACCTATAGCCAGATCGATCAAGATCCAAGTTCAAAACTGATCAACTAGATCAACGCAACTCTGGAGAAACTACAAACAAAGAACGAGATCACTGCCATAGAGATATGGAGAATGAAAGCTGATGATACAAACATTGCACTGTTCTCTTTATTACCAAAAGTACACAAGCATGAAGTCCCACTACGACCAATTGTCTCGCTCCCCGTAACCCCATCATATAAACTAGCGAGGGATTTGTGGAGGAGGTTGAAACATTTGACTGCTGTATCTGAACCTAGCATTAACTATGCTAAACAATTCCCCAACACTCTGCGGAGTGTCAATAGAAGCCGACGAAATTATGGTAAAACTGGTCATTAGGAATACCGACGGATCTCTGCAAACGTACGTATATCGGAATAAAACGCATACGGACCAGATATTAAACTACCACAGCGACCACCCGATGAATCACACGACGAGCTGCATTCAAACCCTGTTCAAGAGAGTAGAAACGCAATGCAGCACAACCGAATCTCGGAAACAGGAAGCAAATCAACTATATCGAGTGTTTAGGAACAAAAGTTATCCGAAATTTCATCAGAAGAAGCTTAACGAAACGAATGTCTCAGCTACAACAGCACCAGTCACCTGAGCAAGCAAACAAACGGACAGTGCTCCCCTACATCAAGGACATCTCCGAGCTAACAGGAAAATTGCTGCAGTCACATGGAAACTCTGTGATTCACAAACCAAGTGCCACCCTATGGAAATTGATCTTAAGACCCGAAGAAAATGTTAGTCAGGCCGACCAATGCAACGTCATCTACCAGATAAAATGCAGCGACTGTGATGGAAACTGCTTCGGACAAACTGGAAGAAAACTTTGTACACGAAACACCATACTGGGCGACCGTCAGAAGACATGATCCGCACTCATTGTTTTCTGCGCATGATGATCAAGAAGGCCACCATTTCGATCTGGAGAATCTAAAGACCTTAACACGTGGAAGTCCGAAACACGCGAGGGCGTTTTTAGAAACCTGGCACTCTACAACAAATTCACTCAATTGACACATCGAACTGGACGCAGTATTCTCAACACTACTTTCGAACGACCGCCAACTCGCTCGATTGAATCCGGTGGGACGTGTGATTAGACAACCAGAACTGACGACAGACTCGCTCACAAGAGCAAGCAGACAAAGGCCACGAAACACAAGTCGTCAACTTCATCAACCAAACTAAACGCGGATCGAAGTCCCAACTAATGGAATTGCTCGGCTTCACGGGCAACCACGGCGGTATAAAAAAAACGCACGCACACCACGCTCATCGCACTCCTACTGAGGCTCCTCTACGCTACTGCATTCCACTCAACTACGCACTGATGAGGTCACCTCGATTGGTGACGAAACGTTTGCAACAAAATTGCCAAGCTCAGCGAACAGTTCAACCGCCAACATTGGATTTGTTTGCACCAAGCGATGCTTTCCTCTGATCAATCACTTTGTTGTCTCACCTAACACCCCTTGAAAAGTTGGATCTCCGCTCAATCACTGCAACTGTTTAACCTCCGTCGAAATATGCCACCAGAGTCACCTCATAATTCTATGCGGTAAACTCTCAGTTGGCATCTCAAACAAAACTTGCGTACTGACCTCGAGATTTGCTGGTCTCAGCGCGCCTCGGAGACCGCTGCACTCCTGAAATTTCTGCAAGCTCTTGCAGCTCATTCGCTTCACCTGCCGCAGAAAGCCTGGTGTCCGCGAGACTGCAGCGGATGGGTCACTAACCTGCGAAGACGCGTAGAGCATTGGGCCGAACATTTTCACTCCCAATTCAATCCCTATCCATTGTCTGCTAATATAACAAGTACACCCAATTGGATGCGCTGGGCCATATCATAGGAGCCAGCTAGTGAGGCGGAGTTTTTCGTCGAGATTCGACACCGAGCCGGGATTCAAGTCTCTCGGCTCGGAAAATCTTCCTCCGGAGATGTTCACTTTTGGTGGCCTAGCAGTTGACATCGCTGTTCCTCAAGATATGAAACGAAGAGAAGATTCCATCCTCCTGAGGTATCAGTAATGGTCCCTATTTTCAAGAAAGGTGCTCGCACATCGTGTGCTAGTCATAGGGGAATCAGTCTCATGCTAGTTACTTCCAAACTGCTGGTGTCCATTCTGCTTCGTAGACTATCCTCGATTCGCGAGTTGTTTTACCGAGAAGAACAAGCTGGCTTACGCTCCGATCAAGGATGTGTAGACCAGATCTTCACGCTACACCAAATCCTTGAACACTGCCATCTCTACCACCAGCTAACCATTGTCGTTTCTGGACATTCGAACCACATTTGACTCGGTTGATCGTCTTGCTTTATAGTACTGTCTGCTAAGAAATGTAGTCCTCGGGAACTACATTTCTATCATTCGGGCGCTTTACTTCCAAGTGTCAGATAGAGTGAGGGTCTATGGCAAGCTTTCCTCACTCTTCGTTATCACTAGTGGTGTGCGATAAGGGTACCCTTTGTCTCCATTCCTCTTCAACTTTGCAATTGAGGACGTCCTGTTGAGATCTCTGGAAGTCTCGCAAAATCTTGGTGTTTAGCAATGGCGTGACCAATTTAGATTATGCTACTGATATCGCTCTGCTCGGTAACGATTTGTAGAGTGTACAGCTCATTTTGAACCGTCTGGCGATTGAAGCGTCTACGTATGGCATGCCCTTTCCCCTTGAAGTGTAAAGTGCTAATCCAGGACTGGAACTCGTCTGTCCCTCACTTATTCTCGGAGGAACACAGCTAGAGCTTGTGAACTACTTTGTCTACCTCGGAAGCTGTATTTCTGCTGATGACACCATTGGAAAAATGTGCATCTCATCGCATCGCCAGAGCCCAGTCAGCATTTACCAACCTGACTCATTTGTGGCGTCGTCAGGACATATCCCTCTCCTTAAAGGGGAGGGTCTACAACGCTTGTGTCCGCGCGGTCCTGCTGTACGGAAGTGAGTCCTGGCCGATTCGTGTGGATGACATGCGTAGGCTTTCGGCCTTCGACAACATGTTTGCGGCGGATAGCCCGTGTGTGGTGGCAGTACCGGGTTCGCAATAATGATGTCCGCTGTCTCGTCTTGGGAAACATGAGCTCTCTACTTAATCGCTTTATCGTAATGCGTCATTTGTGGTGACCTGGCCACGTCCTACGTATATCATGCGAGCACTTACCACGTCGCGCCTTATTTACTCGCACAGGATTGAATTGGTAGAGAAGGCGTGGAGGTCAGCCAACCACTTGGCGACAAACCATGAAATAGCTGACCTGTCTCGCAATCGTCGGCCCAGTACGTCTTTCTGGTTGGGGGCCCAAGGATGAGGACTGCAAATGCCTCGGCACATTTGGCGATATAGCGCGAAACCGGAGTCAATTGAGGGACTGTATATTGAAGTGTTTTGCACAATGTGATTAGATCTGTACTATTCAAAATGCCAACAAAGGAACGAAATGACGTGTAAAAACTGACAAAATAACACAAAGCCAAAAGTATTTGTTCTCTGTTCCTGATATTTGTACCTTTTTCCATTTTGTTTCATGGTTTTCCGATGGCCTAATGTCTATTTATAGACTAATGCGAAGTATATATATATATATATATATATATATATATATATATATTCCAAAAACGCAATTTCTTTTAACTTTTGCTCTTCTAATCAACTCCCATCATATGCTTGTTAGCCTTGGCCTTTTTGCGATCGGTACATCCACGATATCTGAGTGCATTGTGCGAAAGACGTTCCGAATTCATTAGCGCCGTCTCTTTCCTCTTCTCCAGTTAATGGCACCCATCAATGTTGCATCCAAAAGATCTGTGCCTGAGACACAGCTTAGAGCATGGGGCGCTTGTCTCCAGAATCCATATGCACCATTGGTTGAACGCTCTCGCGCACTTTGGGGTCTTCGTCACGCTGGCGAACCTTTGGCTACGGAACTTCTATGCTCCTATCTGTCAGATGTGGTGGAACCATCCCCAGCAGCAAATGCTCTGTTGCAGCATGAGGTCGCCTACTGCCTTGGCCAGCGTGGAGACTTGGAAGCAGTTCCTGTATTGGCCAACGTGATGCGTAACAGTCATCACCATCCAGTGGTCAGACATGAAGCCGCCGAGGCATTGGCTGCCCTGTGTGAATTTCCCGGAGCACCCATTGATGCCATCGAAAACCTGTTCCGAGAGTATGTCGACTGCGATACCATTGAAGTAAGTACTTCCTTAAGATTTTGTTCATTCGGTGAACAATAATTTGTTGTCTTATTTGACCTTGTCTGTATTCTATTTCAGCTTGCCCATACGTGCGGAATCGGTCTCGGACGCTTGGCGTGGTTACGGCAGCAACCGAAAGACTTTCCAAATCGAACCATCGCGAAAGACTTCTTTCCCGATACCATTGATCCCGCCCCTGGTTTTGATCCGGAAGTACGTGGGAGTCCAATCCAGTTGCGTGATTTGTTAATAAACCCGGATCAACCACTATTCACGCGTTACCAGGCTCTGTTCAGTCTGCGTGACTACATTTTAGAAGCCAAACTGTATTCGTGCGCCAATGGTCCATCAGCCAACGAACTCGCTACTTTATTAGCAGAAGGTTTGACGGCTCCTGGAAGTGCCTTGCTTCGTCATGAGGTCGCTTACGTGTTAGGCCAGCTGGCGATGCAGGTCACTGTCCCGGACTTGGCAGAATGTCTACAGCGCGTCACGGAGCACCCTATGGCCCGACACGAGGCCGCTGAAGCACTCGGTGCCGTAGCTGGTCAAATCGAGGCGGGGCTTGCGTCCAGCGGATCCGAAGAAGCAAGCACCTTCGCAAAAGCTGCACGATGTGTTCTCCGTCATTCGCTAACGGACAAGGAGCAGCTAGTCAGAGAAAGCTGTGTACTTGCTCTTGACATTGCGGACTACGTCTGTTCCACCGATCAGTTCCACTATCCATCTATGCCATGTTGAACGCCAGTACTATAGAGACGTCGCAGCCTGTAAAGCCTTATTTCTGTACACTGCATTTTTCTAATCCGTTGGAAAATCGCGTTTGTCCTTTTACTGTTCTTTATGGGGCATTGAAATTGCTCCTTATAGATGACCGTTATTATCGGGTAAAATGTGCATTGCTACGCTTCGGGAACCGCATCAGAGCTGGAGTCTGCTCTGGCCACTACAGAGCACCGCGCACTTAGCATCGGTTTGTCGTTTTCAGCTTGCAAGTTACTACTGCTAGGCTCGCGTGACACGTCAACCGTTCCTATCACTAACGGAGTGCCACTCGGAGTGTTTAAACAGTTGTACAGACTATTGGCAACCACTTCACCACTCCGCGCATCGTTTAGTCCGATATGACTGAACAGGATTACCTTATATTAATCTACTCGTCAGAGTGTGCGCAACGTTACTGCGCGGTTGTCGTCACTATATGGAATACCGACTTGGCCACCGTACTTAAACATCCTCGAAACGCTGGTCTTCGCCTACTTGCATATACGTAAGATCTGACGGAACCATCAAGCGTGCAGTACCTCGTTTTTCAACAAATTCTCCGGCTATCAACTCTGACTTGGTTAATTTTTCTTGCCGTTTAATTTGGCGTGTGCTATTAGCGAGTGGTAGCCTATTATGCTAGCATGTTAGTGATCTAATTGGGGAGTTTATCATGTCAGTTTTGAAATCAGACGGCCGTTTCGATCTTTCGCATCTCATCAATAGTGCGCATCCATCGGCGGTTTATGCCACCAGCCAGCATTTAATGCCACTGAGCAGTTAGTTTGTTAATCATGACCGCCCGCAGCTGAACCCCATGACTCAGTGGCATAAGGCGGTGGCTTGTGGTACAAACTGCCAGTGCTTTTCGGTTCGGATCAAGGTGGAGCCGTTGGGTGCGCATTATTGATGCTACCCAGCAGATCGAAACTGCCGTCTAGTGCCATTACAGGCGTGTGGCGGACTATCTTATTTGGAAGCTGTTGCAACGAACTCATAATTAATTGCACCGAAATCCCCCCACTCACGATCCCATGATCAATCCAAGAAGACGCAGGATTTGTTCTCTTTTTGCTTCTTTTCACGAATATTGCCAGTCCTATTGTTCTAATCTTATCACGTCATCTTGTAACCCTTATTCAACTGTTTTACCCTTTTTGTTAACTTTTCTTTTCATGGTGACCTGAGTCAGAGAGTGACCGGGTTAATTGAATGAACGGAATTGAACGTGTACCACGTTACGTTATCACCAAGAGTGCCACTCGGAGTGTCTGAACAGTTGTAAAAACCACTTCATCGCTGCACGCATCGTTTGGTCCCAAATGACTGAACTGGATTACGCGATATTAGCCTACTCGTCAGAATGTGTCAACATTAGAGCGCGGATGTGGTCACTGTATGGAATACGTAGAGCGGATAAACAACCTTGCTGGCCACCAGCTTCTCTGTGGACTGCTACCGAACACTAAGAAGGTGAATGTACCACGCGTTGTCAATGTCCTTCGTGAATCGCCCCGCTGACTTGCGGGTGACAGGGTCCCTTAAGTCAACCCCCCTTCTCGGCCTGGGCAACCTGAAAGATCTTTGCCTACGCAACACATAAACCTTCTAAACCCTCTTAACCCTTCTACAAACTCCCTGTTTTCCCGTTTTTGTTGTTGTTAACCATGTGTTGTGTCACTTCCAATTGTATGTCGGTCAAATTTTGAATAATAATATTATTAGTAATATATACGTTACACTGTATGCCAAACCGTCAACTCACCTATGGGCATAGTTTCGGCTTCTGCTCAAGCATGAAGCCGATGGTATCCGAGCTGCGGATTAGTCACCAAGGATCGAGACGGTCGTTCAGTGCTTCTCTGCATGTCTAGATGGCTATCCCACCGTGTCCAATTGCCGTTTGTTCTATTAGAACTCCATTAAATCAGCGCCAGTATAGCTTCCGGTCAATGTTTCGGTACAGAGTCTTCTAAATTGAGTTAGTGTTTGGTCCCAAAGACTTTTGTTAAGCCATCTCATGAGCGAAGCTTATTTGGACATGCGATGTGTTATGTTCGGGCATTCTTGGTTATAACACTCATGAAGTGAGCCACTCCTTTGCCCTGTTGTCCATTTGACTCTGGGACTTGGATAGTTCGGACGGCCAACTCATTATCCAACCAATCATCGTAATTCATTGGTGAAATGGTTTAACCATCAGTTGGCAACATTTACCTGCCGCGTTCATGTTCAAGTTATCTGTCTCTACTTGAGCGATTCATGCGAGAGAGAAATAGTTTGTGAGATGAAGTGTTATTAGATGGCAACATCTCACATGTATGTGTTTCAGATACAATCTTAGTGACCTAGCTGGTCGAGGTCCACTTTAGAGTTAATTACGGATAAGTTGACAATTTCAGGTTACAGTGCATCTATAAAACGGGTCCGAAACAAATGTGCAAGCAAGCTAGGCACATATCACTAATAATTGTGATATTCGTTGCTGTCAAACAGCTTGTGTCACTGCGAGGTCACTGATTGGTAATCTGTACGTCCCGAGTCCGATACCCAATTCGTCTAACTTCAGCCGAAAAGTTCGAAACTGTTCAAAGACGACCGCAGGGTGCAGGTTAGAGAGTAGAAAGGAGCTCACATTCATCGCCTCTGAGAGCGCGTTTCACAAAATCTTTTGCCTGACTTTTCCTTTGTTCAGTGCCACACTCATTCACCGTTTAAAGCCAACAACCATCAAATTGTGATGCACTGTGTTTCCACTCAAAGAGTTCGCAATGACTGAGTTTTTTACTTCGCTCTGCCCTGATGTATACCACTGCACTCAGAGTTGAAACGCTTGCGATTAACACATTCACGCACAATTGCACACCACGCATGTCCGCTTCACACTTGTCTTTCGCTTTCCACCCGTTTACCCTTTGGCCCCACGATATCGTGTTTCCGCTCGGTGATAACTGATAGAATAGCGTGTACTGTCACCAATATAAATAAATGAACGGTATTGGAGGGTTTCCGTGTGGCTCTTACTCATCTCTGCACTCCACGGCCGACAGTTTCGTCCTGGTTTGGACTCATTAGGTAGAGATAACCGAGCTGGGAGTGGAATTCGGCGCAAAGTGCTTAACGGCTATTGCCAAGAACACTAGGCCATTGAGCTGCGCGAGCAGTACTTGACACAGCGGTTAGAAAGTTGCTTTTCGGGTTTTGGAGCACCCGCCGTGTGTCATGGATTGCAACACGCAATCTAGAAGGTGGTCTCGGTTGATTTTGAAATCAGCCTCTGCCAATACGATTGCTGGGACCGTCACTGAAGTGGATGGTTTCGGTGTGGCTCTCTCCCATCCCTGCACCCCACGGCCGACCTTTTCGTCCTGGTTTGGACTCATCAGATTGTGATAGCCGAGTTGGGAGTGAAACTCGGCGCATAGTACATGACAGCTATCGCCAAGATCACTAGGTCATTGAGCTCCGCGAACATGAACGGTATCTCCCTCGACAGTGCGAGGTTCAGTCCAATTGAACGGGGTCGCATACGACGAGTATTCGTTCTAGCTTTGCAGTGGATCCCAACGGATTTTGTGGATTGATTGATAAGTTGAATGGAGTAGAGATTGAGAAACTGGGAATAATGGCAAATGTAGACTTAACCAACTGTTCAATTGAAGTAATGTGGCAATCCGTGGGACCGTCTGCAGCGGATCTGCGTCCATACAGAGTATTCTTTCGCTGGGTTTCACCTGCATCTCTATGCCCCATATGGCACTATACAAGTGCGGCAAAGACAACAAGTTAGCCATCACCTCCTAACTGCATCTTTACGACTGTTACTTTATGTGTGCAGTATGAACATTCATGCCATCCAGCTTGTTTCACCATTTGGCTATTTTTAACATGACCCTTTATATGAGCCAGTGCGCCAATATCATGGAAGCCTCAATCCGTCGTCTCATGAGATCAACGCAGTCGTAACTAGCAATGAAATAACGAACAATATAAACTATGGAGGAATTAAAAATAATGGCCGTGTTGGTAAGTAAAACATTCGCAAATTGGCCGAGCACAATTTGATCGAAATCCTTGACAAACGACGACGATACAGAAAATTCGAGTGACGCAATCTTCTACTCTGACTAGGGTTGCGTAAGGAATAAGGAGCGGTAAAAATAGTCTAGTGGCAGTTTATGACGTTCATTTAGTTATTGGTGCTTTATCGCTCATTTCTACCATTTGAAGTATGCAGTAAAAGCCCAGAGTAAATTTCTTAATTCCATGTAATCCATCACAGTAAAGATCTACCACCGATTGCTCAGCGGGACGGGAAACTGTATCGACGAGACTAACGTGGTACGATGATTTGCATACCTCCTTGACCCATTGAGCTATACTGGGTAGTGCCACCCGGCTCCTCGAAAGCTACTCCTCCCAAGTTGGCCATTGGTCAGAGGTCAGGTGAAATCATTCTCCTGGTCCTCCAGGTTGGTGGTTGGAAATGGGATGGCGTTCAATTCCGTAAAACTAAATTGTTGCCACCTTCCCCGCTACGGACAAGCTTTTGAGCCAAAGGCTTTGATTGAGGACACCAATTGTCCTACTGTCTGGGTCTGACAGTCTTGCCAGTATCTCAGACCACCTACAACCATAACTACTACCTCAAATTTTAACCACACCCTGCATCGGACACTGGCACAGTTTATCAAGAGTCGCTTTACGTGCTGTATACAGCAGGGCGGATAGGCGAAAACATGCTACTGCTGGCGCCTCCTTTCTTTACCATCTGTTTCTCTTAATCCCATTCCGGGCCATATGACCAACTTTTCTTCTATAATTCGCAGTTTAGTTGACAGCAGCAGCAGTGCCATTGCAGTTGTCTTCCAGCGCCAACCGCTGGACGCCAATAGTTCCTCATAAGGCCACACTTTCCCGTTTCTCTGGAGGCATTCAATATTCCTACTCTAAGCAAATAGTTCAACTGGGTGCACTGGCGCGCACCTTGAACACACTGGGTATTGACACGTGCTGCGTATCCGAAAGTAGTATCAATGGCCCTCGCGTGGTTGTTGAAAGAACTGTCCCCCGTTTGTCTTCTCGCTATTTGGTGATACTGATGCGGCAAACTCTGGTCAAGCTGAGGTGGGCATCATTCTTC